AGACGAGGGGGGGGGATGCGGGAGGAGGGGGAGGCGGAGGATGTGGGATCCGGTCTTCGGTATGTGGACTTCCTCTTGGGCCTCTCTTGGGACCGTCTTAGGGTCTTTTTGGGCCGTCTGGGGCGCCTCTTGGACCGTCTTGGGGCCGTTTGGCCGGGGCCTCTTGGGCCTTCATGGTGGCTTCTAGGGCCGTCGTGGGGCGATCTTGGGAACCTCTTGGTCCGTCTCGGAGCGTCGGAAAGCCGAAAACGCGAGAAGGCCATAGGGCTATAGGGCTATGGGGCTATATGGCTATGGGGCTATAGGGCTATGGGCTATTGTTCTAGGGCTATAGGACTATGGGGCTATATGGCATTATGGCTGTAGGGCTATAAGGCTATGGGGCTATATGGCTATGGGGCTATAGGGCTATGAGGCTATAAGGCTACAGGGCTATAGGGCTAAAGAGCTATATGGCTATAGGGCTAAAGGGCTATAAGGCTTTATTGCTATGGGGCTCTTGGGCTATTAGAGCTATTGGGCTATAGAGCTATTAGGGCTATAGGGTGATTAGGACTATAGGACTATCGGAGGTGAGGGGGTGAGATCGAAGTGGAACGGAGAGCCCCCCTACCGGGAAATCGATTTCGGTTTCGCGTTGGTCCGTGCCGTGCGTGCGGGCGAGGCGAAGCTGCGTGGGCGGGCGAGAGAAAGTCTCCTGTGGCTGAGGCGCGGCCGGACCAAATGTTTCCCTTCCGGGCGGCCGGTGGCGCGCGGTGTCCCGCCAGTGTCCCGCTGGTGTCCCGTCGGTTCTCTTGTGGCTGAGGCGCGGCCGGACCAAATGTTTCCCTTCCGGGCGGCCGGTGGCGCGCGGTGTCCCGCCGGTGTCCCGCTGGTGTCCCGTGTGTTGCTGAGGCGCGGCCGGACCAAATGTTTCTCTTCTGGGCGGCCGGTGCGGCGCGGTGTCCCGCTGGTGTCCCGCCGGTGTCCCGCGGTGTCCCGCGATGATGATGATGATGATGATGATGATGATGATGATGATGATGATGATGATGATGATGATGATGAGGATGATGAGGATGAGGATGAGGATGAGGATGAGGATGAGGATGAGGATGAGGATGAGGATGAGGATGAGGATGAGGATGAGGATGAGGATGAGGATGTGGATGTGGATGAGGATGAGGATGAGGATGAGGATGAGGATGAGGATGAGATGATGATGATGATGATGAGGATGAGGATGATGATGTCGATGATGATGATGATGATGGTGATGATGATGATGATGCTGATGGTGTCCCGATGATGAGGATGATGATGATGATCATGATGATTATGTTGATGATCATGATGATGACGATGATGATGTCCCGATGATGATGAGTATGATGATGATGTTGATGATGCCGATTATGATTGTGTCCCAATGATGATGATGTTGATGATGATGAGGTTGATGATGATTATGGCGTCCCGATGATGATGATTATTATGATGGTGATGATGATAATGATGATGATGATGGTGATGATGATGATGCTGCTGATGATGATGACGATGATGATGATGGTGATGCTGATGATGATGATGCTGATGATGATGAGGACGATGATGATGATGATGATGATGATGCTGATGGTGTCCCGATGATGATGATGATGATGATGATATGACGATGATGGTGTCCCGATGATGATGACGATGATGATGATGATGATGTCGATGCTGATGATGATGATGATGATGATGATGATGATGATGATGATGATGATGGTGGTGATGATGATGATGATGCTGATGGTGTCCCGATGATGAGGATGATGATGATCATGATGTTTATGTTGATGGTCATGATAATGACGATGATGATGTCCCGATGATGATGAGTATGATGATGATGATGATGTTGATGATGCTGATTATGATTGTGCCCCAATGATGATGATGTTTATGATGATGAGGTTGATGATGATTATGGCGTCCCGATGATGATGATGATTATTATGATGATGATGATGATGATGATGATGATGATGATGATGATGATGATGATGATGATGATGATGATGATGATGTAGTGAGACCGAATGTGATATCGATTGTGAGATCGATTGTGAGATCGGGTCTGGGAATGGGTACGATGCCCAACAGCAGTTCCTGTTCATTTTGAACAGGGCTCGCTGTTCGCGCCGCCGCGGCCTGCGTCCATTTGAGACAGGAGGCCTCCCGCCCAACAGCGGCCGCTGTCGGTTTGGGACAACGTTTGTTGTTGGGCATTGTACCCATTCTTTCCGTACCCATTTCGGGCGTCCAAAACTTGGGCTGGCCACCGAAGTCGGCGACGAACCTCACTGAATCACATGAATCCGCTAGGACCCCTACAGAGGCAAGCTCTGATTGGGGAACTTCTCGAAAACGTTGGGAAGATCGTGATTTTTGCTTCGTGGGGCCCTTAGGAGGCCTCTTGGAGGCCGTCTTGGGAGCATCTTGGGCCGTCTCGGGGCCATAGTGGGACATCTTGGGACCATCTTGGGCCGTCTTGGCCTCCTGAGCGCGCCCCCAGAGGGGGCCGGCGGACATCGATCTCCCTATATCAATCGATTGGTCGATCTCACGACCTGTCTTTCGGAGCAACCATTGGGGCAATCATCGGAGCAACCTTCGGGGCAACCATCGGGACAACCAGCGGGAACATCGGCGAACCAACCGGGAAAATCGGCAGTGACTACAGCCGGCGGGACAACCCAGGGCCATAGACCAGACACGGGGGGGACACGGGGAGGGGGGGGGGACAGATTTGGTCTGACTTTGCCCTAACCAGGGCGGAATTCGCGTGGTTTCGCCTCATCTCGGCCGCAGCTAACGCACGAGACGAAATGATTTCTCAGTTGGGGCACCTCGCGTTTCACATTGGCCTGGCTCCCCCAAAACTCAGACCTAGGCATTTCTAAAGACAGCGGGCGAGCGATCGAGCGAGGGGCAGGAAGGGCAGTAGTACGAGGAGGCGGCGGAGGAGGAGCAGGAGGACGAGGAGGGGAAAGGAGGCGGGGGAGGGGAAAGGAGGCGGCGGAGGGGGACGGGAAGGGGGAGAGGGGAGGGAGAGGGCGAGGGGGAGGAGAAGAAGGAGGAGGAGGAGGAGGAGGGGGAGGGGAAGGGGAAGGGGAGCAGGAGGGGTAAAGGAGGGGGAAAGGAGGGGCGGAGGAGGATGAGGAGGAGGAGGACGGGGAGAACAAGGACGAGGAGGACGAGACCAGGGGGGAGGGATGTGGGTGGAGGAGGCAGAGGAGGCGGTCTGGAAGACGGCTAGAGGCGGGAGGGGGGAGGGCGGATGAGGAGGAGGAGAAGGAGGAGGAGGAGGAGGAGGGCCAGTATTACCCCAATACGCGCCCACGATGTTGCAATAAACCATCCCTCCAAGTTTCCTCTTCCTGGGCCCTTCAAGAATTTGTTATCATTGTGGCAAGCGCCTCATATGATTGCAGCCGTCTGAGAATTTCCTATGGTACCAAAATCGGTCCGGGGACTTCAGCGCCGCGAATCAACGTGACGGCTGCGTCCTGCCAATCCTAGTCGCGCTTGTTCCTGGGACTTCGAAGCCGAGTCCTCGACACTGCTGCAACCTTTGAAGATGCGCGCGGCGCTAAGGCGAGAGCCACATGTTGAAAAGGAAACGCCCTCCATCCCTGAAGTTGCTGCAACTGTTTTAGACGAATACGCGCGGCGCTAAAGCGATAGCCAGATTTTGAAAACCAGCCGCCCTCAATTTCTGAAAATGTTGCAAGCTTCTACAACACATGTGCGCGGCGCTGAGGCGAGAGCCACATTGTTCGAAAGCAACCGCCTTCCATCTTTGAAGCTGCTGCAGGTTTCAAGCTTCAGAATCATAGATGGTGAAGAAGTCTGAGGCGAAACGCACGGTCCGCCCTACCAACTCGTCTGGGGTGCGACACGGAGGAGTAGGTATAAGGAAGAGGAATGGAGGATGAGCCGGCCAGGGGGAATCTTGCGATCGGGGGGAAGCGCTACAGACAGTCGGTTCGGATTGCAGAGGACACCCGAGAGGACACAAGACTCTTCCGAGGGCAGTTTCGTGCTCCAGGCGTTGAGAGGACACGAGACGCGATAGACAGGGTATCTGGCACCCTTGCCTTTGGAAGGCCGATTACTGACCAGACCCGACTGAACCGACTGAACCTCCCTTTCCGCCTGTTTTCCACCCGTTTTCCCCACAAGCCCAGCCCCGCGTGCACCCGCAGACACTGCACCGCGCATGCGTGCCCTCTCCTCGGGAATTGGATAGCTGGACTTCGCCAGCGATGGATGCTAAACACGATCTCAGGAATGACCAAGCCAAGCTGGCAATCCGACTGTAGTTCACATGCGTCGGCAGAACATCTACAGCATGAATTCATACGACATGTACCTGGACACTGTCTGCGAACAGAGCGTCTCGAGGCCGCGCGTGAGTTAAGCCTGGGCTCCGCACAGGCGGGCTCGTCCTGCCCTGCACGCGCTGGCTCACCTCGATCACGTCTGTGGCGCACCGAGGGACGCGCAGGTCTCCTCCCCCCCGGCACCCGACACACAGCTGCAACCCATTACCACCCTCAACGGCGGCGGCGCTGGCCACGCAGCTGCAGCCCACCACCGCCCCTCACGACGGCGGTCCTCTCCCCCCCCGCCCCCCGGGCAGCGCCAGACCCGCGGCTGCACTGCATCGCCGCCCTCCGCGGCGGCGCACCGCCCGCCCCCCCCCCCCCCGCCCATCGGCTGCGACCCCCCACGGCCACGGGCCACCACGCCGTGCCCCCTGGGCCTGGGCGGGCTCCCTGGCGGCGCGCGCACCCTCTCGGCGCCCCTCTCCACGCCGCTCCCGCCCGCCGCCGCCCCGCCCGAGCGCCCCCTCCGCCGCCCGGCCGGCCAGGCGGAGAGCCCCCGCGGCGCGGGGGGGCGCCGCCGCGGCGCGCGCGCGCGCCCGGGGCCGCCTCGGCGAGCGCCTCGGCGCCGCAGCCGCCGCCACGGGTGACGCGAGGCGGGCGAGGCCGCGGGGGGCGGGGTGGGGGGGGGGGAAGAGGGGGGGGAGGGGAGGAGGGGGAGGGGGGAGTGAGATTTCGTGTTCCCTCTTGGCTAAGATCAAGTGCAGTATCTGTTGTATGATTAGTAGCATGCAGGCAGGCTTTGTGTAAGAGGATATTCGACCGTGATCGCATGAATGCTCAAGGATGCGGGTTCGCTAGCTACAAACATTTCAGTTTGGTAGCGGAGCTTCGGCTCCCTACCCTCCACGCGCGGCCCCGCGCGCGCCGGCGCCCCCCCAGGCGCCGCCATCGAGGAGCACGTTCCTCGGCATCGCGCTCTCGCTGCGCGACTCCGTGTACTACTACGACGGGTTCATCACCTACGAGGTGAACGGCACCCACAGGTTTCTCGTCACCCACGAGGTGACCCCTTTCGACCTCCTCAGCGCGGAGATCAGCATCTTCTAGGCTGGGAGGCTAATACCTTACCGGGCCCACAGGGCCGACAAGTATTGCGAGCATCTTTGAGCATAGATATTGATCGAGTTTCTTGCTGGAAGTATGGGAGACTATAAGACGCCAGCATCACTGCAGGAGTTCACTCGGTTCGTGCCGCCAGGATGGAAGCCGTTCGATGACGCGTATCCATTCAAGGCCTACATGCAGAGACTTCACTTATGGTGGCGGCTGACCCCGCTGGACGAACGTGAGGCTGGTCCATCAATGGCGGCAAGGTTGTTGGATCGAGCATTTACAGTTGCGATGAACTTGGAGATCACGCGAGATGGAGTGAAGCACACAGGTGACGCAGCCCTCTCACTTCCTCGGCAGTCAGAAGAGCGAGATGCCAACGGGAACATCACGCAGCAGGCCGATATCAGTGGAGCTGGTCACCTGATGCAGAAGTTGACTGAGGCGTTCGAGATTCACGACCAGGACAAGCAGGGCGAGTACCTCGACAAGTTCCTGGACACGAGGCGTGGCAATCAGACGTTGCAAGAGTTTCTATTAAGTTTCCGCGAGAGATATACCGAGGCGAATGACAAGGCGGACTTGACGATCAGCAATGTCGGACTGACACACATGCTGTTCAAATGGTGTGGTTTGCCGGTCAGGCGTATCGCAGACATCAAACTCCACATCAACGGAGATCTAGAGCAGTTTCAGACAGTGTATTCAATGCTAACGAGGATTGCCAAGCAGGAGATGGCATCAGGCAGTGGACATGCACATCACTACACGGACGATGACCAAGTTTCGGACCATGTCGTGGACTACTACCAGGACTATGACGACGAAGGAGTGGAATTGATAGACTGGACACATGACGAGGAGAGTGGCCTACACTATCGCGAGTACTGGACGGAGACTGGTGAGGCGACCTACGGAGCTTACGACGACAACGGCATCTGGTACGAGGCCAACGACATCGAGGCGTGGCTTGACGAGCAGGAGCTGGATCAGGCGTACCAGATGAACGGTTTCAGGAGACGTTTCCGCTTCGGCGGCTTTCGACGGAAAGGTAAAGGCAAGAGTGGCAAGGGCAAAGGAGGACGTGGTCGCGGCAAATCTCGCGGTCGTGGTTTCGGACATGGAAAAGGACGTTGGTACAAGAGCAATCACTACGAGGAGCCGACGGACCAGAGCTTGTGGGGCGACAGGAAAGGTGGCAAGAAGCACGGCAAGCACAACACTCAGGACAGCAACAAAGGTAGCGGATGTAGTACTTGTGGCTCGAAGTGGCACAGGAGCACAGACTGTCCGGCTAACCGTCATCAGCCTGGACAAGCCCAGCAACAATCTGGTCAAGGGTTCTCGACGGTCTCCTTTCATGCTGGAGTATCAGGCGACGACCCGAGGATTAACCTGTCCGCGTACGACGACCTGCCCTTACGACAGTCGGCACCATCGGTCTCATCACACAGTACTGGTTCCTGGGACTTGCCAACATCGCCATCGCCATACGCGCCAGAATCATCAGTGGACGCCTCCGTGTATCACGATTGCCCTGAATACAAGCTGGACCAGGACGACGATGCAGATGACTATGAGTATTCAGGAACGTCTTATGGCGAGCGGGCTGCAGATCGTGATGTGATGGACGGAGTCTATGATGACGAGGAAGCTGAGGAGCACTATGGATACTTCTACAGCCGACTCCGCCAAGGTCAAAAAGGCAAGAAGGGAAAAGGTAAACAGAAAACGGAGCATCAGCCAAAGACATCTCTCTTGGAGACTATCTCCGAGACGCCCTTTCGCCAAGATCGCCCGGCTGCTTCAGATATATTTGGTACCTCAGCTCGTGCTCCGACACAGACATCACGATCAGCCAGGACATCATCGACATCAGCGACGCGAGTATTCGACCTTCCTCAGCGTGAAAGCGTACCGGCCGACACAGAGAGATCAGAAGCAGAAGCTGGCCAACCGACATCACCTCGACCTTCGACTAGCACCTCGAGCACGTCTCAGATGACTGGGTCCCCTACCAAGGGCTCGTTCGCGGACATCATGCACACGTCATTCCTCAGCAATCACATCTTTCACGAGGAGGATGACCCGACGAACGACGGCTCGGTGGCATATCACTCAGTACGAGGAGATAAGAGACTCGGCATCATCATTGACCCAGGAGCTGCAAAAGGTCTTGGAGGCACCGAGACGTTGCGTGAAGTATGTCAGGCACTTCTATGGCCACGAGGCCAGAGGTTGGAGGTGAAGTCTTCTTCGGCCAAGCTGTCAGGCATCGATGGAGTTCCGAATCCATCACTGGGTCTGGGCAAGTTGCCGTTGAACCTGGACGCGCTGCCCAACTCGAGCTTCACGATGGACATGCTCGGTGGCAGCGGCAGTCGATGCCCTCTTCTGATGCCTTTGGAGACGATGATCAATAACACCATGGGCCTTCTCACCGGCATCCTACCGAATCGAGACGGAGTCCTTATCATCAACACATTGGACGGTCTCGGGAACAAGGTGAGACCGACCTGCTACATGAGGACTCTCTACACGGACTCTGGCCACTACTTATTTCCGATCGACGACCCGCAGGCTGGCACTGGCCGTGAGCGAGACCGACTCAAGCAGGCGGTGAAGGCTTACATGGCGAAGGTTTTGGATGAGCGAGCACCTAAGGCACCACAGTACACAGATGATGAAGATCATGAGGCACCAGCAGCACCAAAGGCAGAAGTGGATGAGGCTCCTGAGATCGCACCCGATGACGACGAAATGAAGCAGGAGCCCAAGGAGCACGACGAAGTGAAATATGAGCCTCATGAGCTGGACGAAGTGAAGCAGGAGCCCCAAGAGCACGACGAAGACGAGCCAGCTATTCATCCTCTTGACGAAGCACCACCAGGAGAAGAACCTCAGCCTGTACCAGGAGCTCCGGGTGTTGAGGTACCTCCTCCTCCTCATCCTGATCCCTCTCAGGAGAGACCGGCCAGGAGGCGGATCACGAGCAAGCAAAGGGTGGAGGAGCCAGAGATTGCTATGAAGAAGTGGTACGACGTCAAGCCCAACTTCGATCTCAGCAAGATGGTCTCTCGCCTGAAGGAGGCTACCGACAAGAAGGAGATCTTGCGGTTACTGCTGGGTTTTCACATCAGGTTTTGGCACGCTCCCGTGCCGGACATGGTCATATTCCTCAAGAGTGCAGAATGCTGGAACAAGACGCTGGCCGCAGTCATCACAATGGTCTGTCTGGCCTGTTCTGTGTGCAGGGACTTGGCCAGACCTCTTACAAAACCACGAGCTGGAATCACAATACCACTACGTTTCAACCACAGAGTTCAGCTAGACTTGTTTTTCATGTGGGACAAGGTGTGGCTTCTGGTCATAGACGAACTGTCCAGATACAAAGTGGCGGACATCGTCGCAGATCGCACGCCCAAGGAGCTACTGACTACCTTGATGAGGTCATGGATCAGATATTTCGGGCCCATGCAGATCATGGTTCTGGACCAGGAAGGTGGCCTCGTCTCAGAACTTTCTTCCAGAACGTGCGACAAGCTGAACATCAAGCGACGATATGCCGGCACTGACGACCACACGATGACTGGTCTGGTGGAACGTTGGATTCAGCTGGTTCGACTCTGTGCCATGAAGCTCAAGCGTACCTGCACCACGCAGGGGTTCGAGGTCTCGGACACGGACTTAGTTCAGGAGGCGGCCATGGTTTCTAACAGCATGGTCAGCTACGGAGGTCAGACGGCGACGCAAGTGGTCTTAGGCTTCACACCCAATGACTACTACGACCTTGAGGCCACCACGCTGGACTCCGTGCAGAGCGCCGACGTGAGCTGCCCCGATCCGTTCGAGGCAGCTGTCAGGCTTCGTCTTCTTGCGAAGGCAGAGATGGCACGAGCGATCGTTGAGGACAGAGTTGCACGAGCTAACAGGACACGCGTTCAACAACACGGACCCGAACAGGAGTTGAAGGTCGGAGAGTCCGTTGACATCTACAGAGTACCAGACCGCAAAGATCAGCCAGGCTGGCGCGGCCCGGCTGAGCTCGTCAAGATCTCGGAGGGCACGGCAATAGTTGTCTGGAACGGAGTACCTTACATTCTGCCGGTGCGGTACCTCAGGAGGCACCTGGTCGGCTTCCTAACGTATCAGGCAACCAACATCTCCGAGCTCAAGACAGGCGACCAGCAGATGCTCAACACTCTGGGCAAGTTGATGGACATCGTGGACGGCAGCATCTATGGACAGGTGACACGGCTCGGCAGGACAATCACTCAGGATGGCCAAGTCAAGTGCTCACCTGATGCCAAGACACTGGTAAATCTTCAGCCCTGGAAGTTGAGCATGATGACGTACAGAACGATTTTCCACCTCAAGAGCTTGGACGGCATATTATACGGCACGTCGCTGCGCAGGGTACCACCACTGCATGCAGTTCGGTTCGGCTTACTTGTCTTGTGGGAACGAAAGGATCGCACCAATTACATGACCTACGAGATCGACCCGAGCATGGGCGTGACAGTTGGCAGTCTGGCAAGTTTCAAGTGGGAGAATACCTCGTTCATGATGTACTATTCAATACCATCACAATCGGAACCCTTCCTGGACGAGCACCACTTGCCAGACATGAATGACCTGTCTCGCATTGAGCCAGTACCCGAATCGACGATCGACGTGAACCGTGATGTTCATGACATGATAAGCTTACTTCCCGACTTGGACGACTGGATGGATCAGGACGCCATAGCCGACACACAGCCAGCGGAGAAGAGTCAACTGGATCAGGCCACAGTCGACAGTCCTGGAGCAACACAGCCGTCTACACCACAACGAGAGGCACAACCTCATCAGAGTGAAGGTGTCATTGTTGCTCCACCTGTGGAACCAGTTGCGCAGCCCTGGCGACCTGTACGCTCTGGAAGTACAATTTCAACACCGGCATCTACAGCATCACAGACGAGACCGACACAGACGGCCTCGGCACCATCAGTTGCTCATCCTTTTCCTCCAGTTGTCGGGAAGGAAGACATACATAGGACATCACCTCCTGTTGGAGATCTGGATGCGAGCATGGATCTATCACGGGACCTCAGCAGGATCATGGAGGAGACAGAACAGATGGACATATCTCGAGAACTGAGCAAAGTGATTGACCAGAACCCGATCAGGACTACGACGACTCCGACACCAGGCACATCATCGACATCGGGCATCGGACCTCAAGTCCAGACAGAAGTTCACACCAATCCAGTAGGGCCACCGACAATCTTGAGGCCAGGGTCCACTGACACTGCGGCGGCACCTCCTCCAGCTTCCGCTGATGTGCAGATGGTTCCATATGTACCTATTGCGACATCGACATCAGGTCAATCACCTGCGTCAGACATACCACGACGAGTTCGACTGGACGATCGCGAGGAACGTGCGAGCCCCACCGGATCGCCTATGACAATGGCACCAGGTACATTACCAACGACAGAGGAGACATCACCTGCTGTGCTGGAACCTGGGCAGGCTCACGAGCACGATCTCGCGAAGGAATTGAGTGACCTCATTCAGGCAGACATTGACGATGAAAACAGCATGCTCGTGCCGCGGACGGAGACCGCGACAGACGCGCAAGATTTAGAGGGGACGACCCACGACAAACGATATCATCACGACGTGGAGCAAGCCAGTACGATGAGTTTGCAGCAGAGGCATCCTCGGCGGCGGACAGAAGATCATGATGGAAGCTCACCTGCACTAGGAGATAGACCTCATCTCGATCAAGCTGATCAACCAGTGCAGGTGGAAGCTACGCAACCTCAGGAGCTGGACCTCACGGGAGAGATGGAGAACATCCTGGATCAGACAGCAGCAGATGGTCAGGACACTGGTGCTGTACCACTCATGGACGGAGAACGAGATCTCTTCGCTCGCCACAACACGATGAACAGCGTCATCAATTGGCAGACTGGCGAAGCAGAGATGGTCAACCAGCTGAAGGAGTCCTACGTTGACGACTCCCTCTCGCACATCCTCGAGAGCCACAGTGAGGCGCAGTCATACCTCTCCAGCATCCAGATGAGCGACTTGCCATGGAACTCCAAGGAGGCTTTGTGGACTATTCGAGGACCATGGCGCCAGGATACCTGCTTTCTGTTCTGCATGCGCACTGGTGAGGTGCAGTCCCATGTCGGCGTGAAAGAGTCTGACAACCTGAGCGAGGAGGATGTTCTGACCCACTGGCAGTTAGTAGAAGAGGCCGACTCGAAGGAGCTGCAGGCCTTTGTTGATCACAAGGTCTTCGCATGCAAAGCACGGCGCACGATGGGCAGTAGCAACACCATCGACGCGACATGGGTCAGAAAGTGGAAGTATGATGCGAAGCGCAAGGAGTGGATCATCAAGAGCCGGCTATGCGGACGAGGTTTCCTCGACAAGCAGAAGCACGAGATCCAGCGCCACTCGAGCACCGCCAGCAGGTTGAGTCAGAAGCTGATTGTCTCGACCGTGCAGGTGCACGAGGGTTTCGAGCTCGAGAGCTGGGACATCAGCACGGCCTTCTTGCAAGGGCTGAGCTTCGACGAGATCAGACGTCGTTCGAAGGAGCTCAAGATCAACTGCGAGACGGTGCGCAAGGTGTTCCTGGCACCTCCGGCCAACGTTTGGCGACTGCTGGACAGGCTGCCGAACAGCGGCATCCACGTGAAGGAGTGGGACATCGACCTATTTGTTTTGGAGCTGCTAAAGCCGATGTACGGCCTGGTCGACGCACCACACTTGTGGCAAGTAGCGCTCGCGCTCTTCTTGGTGGATGCGCTTCATGCGAGGGTAAGTCTTTGGGACGAGAACTTCGTCCACTGGACCTATCGAGATCTACCGGCTGAAGTTCGTGACAGAGCTCAAGAGACACGCTCCATTGATGATATTGCAGCGGCACTGTCCATTCATGTTGACGATCTCTTGTCAGCTGGACGCTCTCAACACTTGGAGTATCTGAGGAAGTTGCTGGAAGGCAAGTTCGGAGCGGTGAAGAGACAGCAGCTGCCATTCACACACAATGGGGCACAATATGTGAGACTGAAGGACGGCACGATATTGCTTCAACAAGTTGATCACCTGAGCAAGATACCCTTCTGTCAAGTACCTGATGGAGCTGATGACAAAATGGTGACAGGAGTGTTTGCTCATGGGTTCCGGAGCATACTTACATCGATGCTGTTCTTATGTCAGTGCAACCTTCACATCATGACGGAGGTGACTCAGCTGCAAGGTTTCAACAACGAGCCCAGGATCATACACCTCAAGAGGGCCAATGCACTACTCAAGCGAGCTCAAGGAGATACGACATTGGTGGGCTTGCACTATCCCATGCTGAGTCCTCCGTTTTGTCTTCGAGCAGTTGGCGATGCGAACCACACTACTAAGTCTTCGGTGTACCCTCAGGAGGGACAGTTCGTGTTGCTGATGGAGGACAAGGAGTTGAAGGTTGATGAGGCTCACCTGCTGGTGGACGCATCAGCTCTAACTGGCAGGTGTCACGTACTCATGGCAATAAGTAGCAAGGCAAAGAAGGTTGCGCACTCGACTTCGATGGGCGAGACTAATTGTGGATTGGCCGTGGTATCAGGAGCTCAGATGGTTGCCATGCGACTCTCGGAGATGCACCTGGCTCTGAGCTGCACCACGAAGCAGATGATATCCGTCCTCATCGAGATGAATAACACAGGCCAGTACGTAGTTGCGATTGACCACTTGACGGACTGCAAAGACATGTTCGAGCTGGTGACGGGCCTGAAGGGAGTACCTCAGGACCGTCAGCAGAGGCTGGCCATCATGGCCCTGAGAGAAGAAAGAATGACAGGACGAGTGCGAAATACATTACATATTCCAACGGACGTGATGCTGAGTGACGCTTTGACGAAACCTGGAACATTTCCTCAGCTCATGTACCTACTCACAACCGGCATCGCCAAGTTTCATGGAAGCAAGAAACCGATCACCTGCAAGCGTATGTTACATCGACCTGGAGCTGTCTCAGAGTCGGACTTGGAGAGTATCCAGAGGTTCGACTAGATTGGTTGCACGAACATCACAGAGGATAATATTTTCTGATGTATCACTTTCTATGATTTCTGGATTACTGTACTATTTTATGAGCTTCAGCACCGTGCTGGAAAACATTTCCGACATCAATGTAGCGTGTGGAAGGCGCCGCCCGGGCTGCCTCATCTTTGCACAGTTTTCCTAGAGAGTAGAATGAGAGTGAGATTTCGTGTTCCCTCTTGGCTAAGATCAAGTGCAGTATCTGTTGTATGATTAGTAGCATGCAGGCAGGCTTTGTGTAAGAGGATATTCGACCGTGATCGCATGAATGCTCAAGGATGCGGGTTCGCTAGCTACAAACATTTCAGTGGGGGGGGGGAGGGGGGAAAGGGGGCGAGGCGAAGGGGGGGGGGAGGGAGGAGAAGATGGCCTCTCTCCCATCCTCCCGCCCCCCATCCCTCCTTCCGGCGGCCGGGGGGGCGGGAGGGGGGAGGAAGGGGGCCTCCCGTCCTCCTGCCCCCCCCTTCCCTTCTCGGTCACCTCGGGGATGTTGGAGAGAACCGAGGGGCAGCGAGGGCGGGGGCTGTGAGCAGAGTGGTGGGGTTGGGTTCATGAGGGGCGGGGAGGAGGAGTTGCAGACGGAATGAGCATGGTGGTGCTTACGCTGCTTGCGGGAGAGAAGCGAGAGGCGAGTGGAGGGGAAGGGCGAAGAAAGGATTGAGTGGAGGGGGGGGGGGCGATGGAGGGGAGAGAGGTAAGGAGGCAAGGGTTAGGGAGGGTCAAGTTGAGGTGAGGGGGAGGGCATCGAGGGGCGACAGGGGGAGGGAGAGGAAGGAGGACTCCCTGTTCTGCACCTCCCCTTCCTCCTCTTTGCCGTCCTCCCTGGACTCTTCCTCTCCCCTCCCTCCTCCTTTCTTGCCCCTCCTCCCGCGACTCGACTCTCTCTTATTGTTTACCTGTTTCATCTCCCCTCCTTCCCTACTCCCATCCACTTCCTTGCAGATGGGCCTCATCTCCCCTTCCTTCCCTCCCTCCACCCTCCTTTCCCTCTCTCCCCCCCTCGTCCTCGCAGAGGGGCCTCCTCGGTGCGCAGGCTGCCCAGATCGGGCATCGCCGGCGTGCACAGCCACCGCCGCAAGGCGGGTGGCCGGGAGGAATCTTCCAGGAGAAGGGGGGCGCTCGCGAGGAGAAGCAGGAGGAGGTTCACTGCCCATAGAGTGACGGAGTCCGAGAGAGAGAGGGAGATAGAGCTAGCGAGAGGGAGGGAGATGATGATGATGATGATGATGATGATGATGATGATGATGATGATGATGATGATGATGATGATGATGATGATGATGATGATGATGATGATGATGATGATGATGATAATGATGATGATGATGATGATGATGATCATGATCATGATCATGATCCTGATCATGATGGTGATGGTGGTGGGAATGATGCTGATGATGATGATGCTGATGCTGATGATGATGCTGATGCGGATGATGATGCTGATGGTGATGCTGATGGTGATGATGCTGCTGATGATGGTGATGATGATGGTGATGGTGACGATGATGTTGATGCTGGTGCTGATGCTGATGCTGATGTTGATGCTGCTGATGATGATTATGATGGTGGTGGTGATGATGAAGATGATGCAAATGATGATGCTGATGCTGATGCTGCTGATGATGATTATGATGATGCTGATGCTCATGCTCACGCTGATGCTGACGCAGATGAGGCTGATGATGAGGATGCGGATGAGGATGAGGATGCGGATGAGGATGAGGATGAGGATGAGGATGGGGACGAGGATTGGGATGAGGATGAGGATGATGGTGACGATAATGATGACGAGGATGAGGATGAGGATGAGAATGGGGATGCTGAAAATGAAGATGAGGAGGAGAAGGATCAGGTTCAGGACCAGTATCAGGATCAGGATGAGGATGACGGTGAGGAGTCGGATGAGGAGGATGCTGAGGATGAGGACGAGGATGATGACGATGATGATGATGCTGATTATGGTGATGACGATGAGGATGAGGATGAGAATAGGGATGCGGATGTTAATGATGAGGATGAAGATGATCATGATGCTGATGCTAGGTATGATCATGTTGAGGAGGAGGGCGAGGATCAGGATCAGCAGGATGATGATGAGCATGAGGATGATGATGCGAACGATGATGATGCTGATGATGTTGATGCTGCTGCTGACGATGATGCTGCTGATGATGATGCTGCTGATGATGAGGATGAGGATGAGTATGATGATGATGGTGATGATGATGAGGAGGGGGATCAGGATCATCATCAGGATCAGGATCAGGAGGATGAGGATGATGATGATGATGATGATGATGATGATGATGATGAGGGTAAGGATGAGGATGAGGACGAGGACGAGGATGAGGACGAGGATGAGGATGAAGATGAGGATGAGGATGAGGACCAGGATGATGATGATGGTGATGATGATGACGATGAGCATGCTTAGGTTGATGATGACGGCGATTAGCATGGTGATGTAACTCATGATGATGATGGTGCTGATGATGCTGATCGTGATGATGAGGATCATGATGATGACAATGACGATGATTATGATGATGGTGATGATGATGATGATGGTGGTGGTGGTGATGGTGATGATGGTGCTGATGGTGATGCTCATTATGATGATGAGGATGAGGATGAGGCTTAGGATGTGGGTGAGGATGGGGTTGATGACGATGAGGATGATGACGATTCTGATAATCATGATGGCGATTATGCTGCTGATGATGGCGATTCTGCTGATGATGGTACTGATGGTGCTGATGATGATGTCGATGCTAAGGCTGGTGCTGATGATGCAGTTGTTGGTCATGGTGAACACATATACTGATGATGATGCGGATGCAGCTGGGAACGAGGATGAACATGGTGAGGATGATGATGTTGATGATGACGCTGATGGTGTTGATGATGGTGATGATGATGGTGCTGATGATGCTGATGATGATGGTGATGATGCTAATGCTGGTGCTGATGATGTTGATGATGCTGATGAGGATGCTGATGGTGGTGGGGATGATGCTGATGATGATGCTGACGATGATGATGCTGATGATGATGGTGATGGTGATGGTGAGTATGCTGATGATGATGGTGATGATGCTGTCGCTGCTGCTGCTGCTGATGCTGATGATGATGAAAATCATGGTGACGATGATGATGCTGGTGGTGATTATCATGAGACTATTGGTGATGATGCTGATTATGAAGATGATGGTGATGATGATATGTTGATAATGCTGATGATGAGGCTGATTATGTTGATGATGATGCCGTTGATGGTGATAGTGACGACGCGACGACGACGATGCTGACGCCGATGATGCTGATAATGATGTTGACGATGATGATGAGGATGATGATGATGACGATGCTGCTGATGATGTTTGTGGTGATGATGATTACGATGATGATGATGCTGCTGATGATGAGGAGGATGATGATGATGGTGATGGTGATGATGGTGATTGTGATGGTGATGGTGATGATGGTGATGGTGATGGTGATGATGCTGATGATGACGATGATCTCGATGATGATGATGATGATGATGATGATGAGGAGGAGGATGATGATGATGATGCTGATGATGACGACGACGATAATGGTGATGTTGATGAGGCTGCTGCTGATGGTAATAATGATGATAAGGATGATGATGATGCTGATGATGGTGATAATTATGCTGCTGCTGCTGAGGAGGTGTAGGATGATGATGAAGAGGAGGAGAAGGAGGTGGAGGAGGAGGGGGGGTCGAGGACGAGGTCGAGGAGGGGCATGGGGGGAGGAGGAAGATAGGAGGACGAGGGAGGAGGAGGAGGAGGAGGAGGAGGAGGAGGAGGAGGAGGCGGAGGAGGTGGAGGATGCGGAGAAGGCGGAGGAGGCGAAGGAGGAGGAGCAGGAGGAGGTGGTGGACGCGCAGCAGGAAAAGGCGCAGGAACAGCAGAAACAGCAGCAGCGGAAAAGCATGCGGATATGGGTGAGGAGGCGGGGGCGGATGCGGACGTGACTTAGGCGGAGGAGGAGGAGGCGGAGGAGGAGGAGCAAGCAAGCAAGATTTCTCGGATGCCGCCCACTGTCTCAACGGCGGCGGCAATACAGAGTAGCATCTGGGCGGCGGCAACATCCGCACCTTCCCTCATCAGCGAGCGCTGCGGATGGGGACGCCGCCTGAGGCCCTCGACCCACCCGTTGGCTGGGAGATTCCAGCTGGGTGGATACTGGGTAACACCCCGTTGCAGCCCGATCTACAGATTGCGGCCGAGGGGGCCTCGAGCGTCGGGAACGACGAGGCATCGGCACAAACGAATCCGACAGTTCGCGAGTCGGTCGTAGCCCAGGCGGAGGCGAAGGAGGCTTAGGACGAGGAGAGGGGCTCGAAGCGCTGATCGGGACCACTGGAATCCCCGAACTGGGCGGAACCACTGGCATCCCCGACATGCCGTTATGGTCCAGGCTTTTCCTGGACTTTGTCAGTGTTGATCTTCAGAAAGGCGCGCACTGGCGGGCCATTCCTCCGAACCCATTCCAGTCCCAGTGGCCCGATGGCTGGCGGCGGCATCCAGGGGTACGGCTGGCAGAATCGTAACTATCGTTACCATGGCTACAAGTACAATCAGAGCCAATGGCAGGTGGGCTCAGACGGTTCGTGGGTCACACCCCAATATGAAGGCAAGAGGACGTGTTCGCAGTGCTCATGCAAGAGAAACAAAAGCGTACTGGACGAACTGCAAGCACTGCGGCGCGCCTCACGATCGACAGTTTCATCGCCTGCCTCCTCGCCCTGGTCTCCCTGCTTCCGCTGTCGCAGGTGCCCATGGCGCAGATGGAGCGGGTGGGGGGCCACGAGCGTCTCGGGCCCCAGGCCGCGCGGGTGTTGCCCCCGATATTGGCCTGGACGAGCCCGCGCAGGCGGCGAAGCTCATGGAGAAGTCTGGCAACTTGGGGCCTGCCGCCAAGCACAAGAACGAGCTGGCAGCCCGCCGCGCGTCTGGGCCGCCGCCGCGGCAGCGGGCTTCAGGGGCGGACAGGCGGGGGCAGCAGCCCGAGTCAAAGCTCAACAAGGAGATCCAGCTGGCCGAGTCATTCAGCCAAAAGCCCATTGCCCAGCAGGCCGCCGCCGCCTCGGTGCTGGGCGAGCTGGAGTCGGCAGGGTCCGACTACACGCAGGTGGCGTCGGGGATGCATGCCCAAGTGCGAGTGCCTGGTGGACCTCGGGCCATCTCGAGCAACGGGGTCACGCTCGACGACATCGTGGACGGTAAGCTGGAGAAGTCATGCCACTCGCTCTCCGGCCTGTCGGAGTATCATAACCTCAGCAAGGAGGAGATCGAGGAGGCCGAGGCGCGCGCCAAGGCCTTCTCGGCAGGCATCAAGGAGATTGGCACGCAGCTGTTCGGGGCCATCCGCGACAAGACGGCGGAGTTGCGCGCCGAGCACAAGAGCACGCTGCCCCGCCTGGAAGGCAAGAAGAGGAAGTGCAATGACGGGGTCGCCGCCACGCAGGACACCAAGGCCGCCCCTGAGGCAGCAGCGGGAGAGCCGTCGTCGCAGAAGATAGGGTCTTCTGCAGGCGCCCCGCAGGCGCCCTCCGCCCCCCGAGCCAGCCCCCCTGCCGCCCCGACGGTCAAGGGGCGCGCCAAGCAGCTCAGGGCCGCCAAGGGTGCGGACAGGGGCCGCCCAGAGCAAGATCTTCAGCATGCATTTTGGCCAACAGTCGATAGCAGCTCAGTTTTGCAGTGCCCTTCCTGGCCAGGAGGGGGTAAGCCCATCTAGTCCTTGGTGGGCGACTTCTGGGTCCTTGAGTGCCGTTGCGGGCACGCAGGTTTCTGTTACCCAGCGTTTCAGCCCCGTCAATTTTGGTGCATCGGTTTTCCCCGTAGTCCCTGAGCCCCCTGGACAGGGACCCATAGATCTGGCGATCGAAACAGTAAATTCCACGTGGTGGTCATCTTTCAAAACATGGTTTCCTCAGACGTCGGCCGCCATAATGCTTTTGCAGAAGCACCGCCTCGTCTCCCAGGACGCCATCAATGCTGCAGTCAGGTGGGCCAAACGCCAGGGCTGGTCTGCCTGCCCCCCC